GAATATTCTGATTTAAACAACAAATATTTGTCAGATATTATTTCATGTAACTATATTTAACCAAATTGGAACGAGTTTGCCTATGTTAATCATTACTAATTTTCTTGTAGCAATTTATGAATTTACTACTCTATTCAGACAGGGAAATGACATCAACATTAGCATGTATCTCATCTGGCTACTCTCATACCAGGACTAATGAGTAAAACAAGCTGATGTACAAGAAATAATTATATTTTGAGACCAAACTAGAGCTGTTAAGAGATATATTTTGATAGTAAATGAACTCTAAATTTGAAAGTAACACAAACATGTTAGTTATAATAAGTGCTCATAGAATAACAAGTTAATTGGACAACATATTGGTGCTGATTTTTTGATTAAGTGCAAACTTCTATAAATTATTAGTAATAGTTTTAAAGTTTAAGTAATTAAAAACAAAAACAGATATAATGAAGAGTGCATAAAACAAGAAAGAATTTACACAGAGAAACTAGCATGCTTGACTCATTCTTTTCTTAAATGTGAAAATTGGCATTATGTAGGTGATGATGAGGGAAACACATTTCAAGTTTGAAATAATTCCCTATCTTTCTCAACAACAAACTAATAATAATAAGAAATATGTTACAACAAGAAAACTTTAACCAGAAAGACCTTTATGAAGACAACTGCTATGCTAAACAAGCTCTGTCCATGGGAAATATTTAACTCAGTAAAGGGCACATTTTCTAGGGTCATCTTGGCTTTTAACCTGAAAATAGGCATGGTTGAGATGTCAGCAAGTATCTAACATACTCTGAAACCATTATTTAAACCTTAGAAAAATTCACTTTTTACAAATCTAAAGAATGAAAAATTTATAATCTGCAATTAAATAAAGTCATTGACTATTGAAAATGTAACCTTGACCTTTGACCTAAAATGACTATGAGTGATATGAACAGGCATTTACAGAAAAAGTCCTGAGATCAACACGCTAATTAAGTGGCATATTGACCTTTTGACCTTAAAATGGGCATAATGAGACAGATGCCCAAAAATAAATATGGAAGGAATGGCTAATCAAATCCGCATAGGTCTATGCTCTTTCATTAAATAGCCCATTTTATGATGCATTATTACAAGTTGAAGCCACCTAGATCTTTGACCATTAAAGCTGAAAATAGGTCTGGCAGGCAGAACTTATAAGTGTGTATCTGCATGTGAAGCTTTGTTTGCATTGAAGGGAATGACCATGAACAAAATCTTAACCAGAAAAGTTAACCAACAATGCTGAGTGAGTCATGTCAATAGCCCTACTTTTTCTTTGAAAAAATGGAGCTAAAAGTGGCTAAAAGAAAAGAAACAAAAGGACCAAGATGGCCCTAGATCGCTCACCTGACCCATCGAACTCATCCAAACAATTACTTAGACAAGATTCTGACCAAAATTCATGACAGTTTCAAAAATGTGACCACTAGAGTGTTAACAAGGATAATCTATATTTGAGCAGTGTGACCTAGTTTTTTCCCCAGGTGACCAATATTCGAACTTGACCTAGAAATCATCAAAACAAACTTTCAGACCAATTTCCAGGATACTTGGATCAAAACAGTAGCGACTAGAGTGTTTACAAGATTTTTCTATTTTTAGCTTCGGTAACCTAGTTTTTCATCCAAGATGACCCATGTTCGAACTCATCCAAACAATTACTTAGAAAAGCATCCTGACCAAGTTTGAAGATAATTGAGGCAAAAACGTGACCACTAGAATGTTAACAAGGTTTTTCCATATTTGGGCAGTGTGACCTAGTTTTTGACCCCGGGTGACCCATATTCGAACTTGACCTAGAAATCACCAAAACAAACTTTCAGACCAATTTCTAGGATATTTAGATCAAAAGAGTAGCCACTAGAATGTTAACAAGATTTTTCTATTTTTAGCTCCTGTGACCTAGTTTTTCATCCGAGATGACCTATGTTCAAACTCATCCAAATTACCTAGACAAGCATCCTGACCAAGTTTGATGACAAATGTGACCACTAGAGTGTTAACAAGGTTTTTCTATTTTTAGCTCCTGTGACCTAGTTTTTCATCCGAGATGACCCATGTAGGAACTTATCCGAGCTATTGCCTAGACAAGCATCCTGACCAAGTTAGATGATAATTGAGTCAAAAATGTGACCGCTAGTGTTAACAAGGTTTTCCTAGTTTTTTATCTGAGATCACCTAGACATGCATCCTGATCAAGTTTGATGATGACTGAATTAAAAATGTGACCACTAGAGTGTTAACAAGGTTTTTCTATTTTTAGCTGCTGTGACCTTGTTTTTCATCCGAGATGACCCATGTTCGAACTCATCCAAGTTATCAATTAGGCAATCATCCTGACAAAGTTTGATGATAATTGAGGCAAAAATGTGACTGCTTGAGCGTTAACAAGGTTTTTCTATTTTTAGCTCTGATGACCTAGTTTTTCATCCGAGATGACCCATGTTTGAACTCATCCAAGCTATCAACTAGATAAGCATCCTGACAAAGTTTGAAGATGATTTAGGCAAAAATGTGACTAATGTTAACGAACAAGACTTAGTGTGGACAGATGACGGACATCCAACGATCCTAAAAGCTCACCCTGAGCTAGCTCAGGTGAGCTTAAAAAACCCACTGTCATGCCAAAGTGACAAATGCTCCCGAAAAGGTTTTATAAGTATTACAGAAAGGTATCATGAAAAGAAAGGGTAATAAAAGTAACTTGTATCATAGTTCGGAGACCTTTCTGTTGAAAATGTGTCAGGGTTAAATCGTATACATATACATGCACAGTGCGGTAACTGGAGTGCGGGTAACTGATACCCGCACTCCAGAGCATGCCCATTGATTGGTTCATTTTTGCTGGGGTTTACATATTGTGACGGCAGAGAAAGGGAAAGCGACAGAAATGTCATATTCAGATGTTCGTTCATTGGTTCATTTTTGCCGGGGTTTCATATTGTGACAACAGGGAACGTGCTTTTATGTTTGACTATGATACAAAAGAGAAAGAACACCAAAACACTCGGCAATCTGATTTATACTCGGGGGATACGCCCCCTCGTAAAAATCAGATAGCCTCGTGTTTCGGTGCTCTTTCTATTACTTATTGCTCAATATCATTCTTGTGAAAAAAGTGATATTCATAGCAAGCTTAAATTACCGCCTTGGACATGGATCATGACGTGGTTGACATTTAAGTGAAGTTATTTAAAAATCCTTCAATGCATGAAATAGTTACAGTTCACACATGAATGTGTACCTTAAAGCTTTAAATGTGACCTTGACCTTCTATGTACTGACAATAACCTTAGATGCAACATGGTCTTGATGTGGTAGACATTTATGCCGAGTTTTTTAAAATACTTCAATCCTTGATCAAATTAGTCTGGACACAAACGAGTACCTTCAAACTGTAATTGTGACTTTGACCTTGGAGGTAGGGACATGGATGTGGCATATTGTTTTGATCTGGTTGAAATATATGCTAAGTAATCTGAAAGTCCTTTCATGCATGACAAAGTTACAGTCCGGACACTGAAGCCTTTAAACTCTGTGAGGATTTGAACCTTCAAACCAAAATTATGACCTTGACCTTTGAGGTAGGGAACTTGGTCTTAGACACAACACACCTTCATGATGTGGTTGTGGTTGTGCCAAGATATTGTAAAAACCTTCAATACTTGATTAAGTTACAGTCCAGACAGGAATGTGTATATTCAAGTGTGACCTTGACCTTTTAGGTGTTGAAATAAGACATGATATATTGTCTTGATGTTGTAGACATTTGTGCCATGACAAAGTTATAGTGTACTTTCAAACTCTTCTTGTGAGAATGAGTAATTTAAAACTATAAACTAAGTGTGACCTTGACCTTAGTGGTAAGGACATGGGTCTTGGATATGACAGTCCTCTTTATGTGGTAAACAATTATGCTAAGTTATTTTTAAATCCTTCAAAGTATGACAAAGTTATAGGCCAGACACAAATGTGTGTACCTTGAAACTCTTAATTGTGAGAATGTGAACCTTCAAAATGTAAGCATGACCTTGACCTTGGAGGTAGGGACATGGGTCTTAGATGTAACACATCATCATGATGTGGTTGACAAAAGTTATTTCAAAATATTTTAATGTATGACTTTAGTTCCTATCTGGACACAAATGCTGTGCAAGAAGGGATGCACAGACAGACAGACATGGCAGACAGACAGACAGTGCGATTCTAATATACCACCCTTTTGGGCATAAAATCATTTGAGCCGTGTCACGACAAAACCAACATAATGGATTTACAACCAGCATGGATCCAGACCAGCCTGCGCATCCCAGAGTAGTCTGATCAGGATCCATGCTGTTCGCTATCAGTTTCTCTACTTGTTATAGGGTTTGTAAGCGAACAGCATGGATTCTGATCAGACTGCGTGGATGCGCAGGCTCGTATGGATCCATGCTGGTCGCAAACCCATTATGTTGGTTTTGTCGTGACATGGCTCATTTATAAAACTGGAGCTGAAATGGCTGTAAGACAAGAAATAACATTAATAATAACAACATACAAAAAAAGATGAAGGATTGCGTTCTGCTGTGTTCACTCACCAGGGATACATTACTTAAGAAAGAAGAAAAAAAGGGTGTGGGATTGAATCTTGGTTGCAGTATTTTGTTCTCTGTAACATATGATCAAAGACTGTTTATATGCCGCAAGGCCATAGCTGACTCCCTACCAATGGTCAAAGTGACTCATGGACAGTTACTTATGGAGAATAGGCTAATATTTAAATAAAAATCCTAAAAGTTTTTGTACTGACTGCTAACATGTGACTGAAATACTTTTACAAAATCACCTAGGCCTATGTTGGTGAGCCTTTCATTGTAAAAAGTAATCTTAATGTTATTAATGATACATCTGCTGCCAATAGTTTGCACAATTCTGCTTTACAAAAGTATTGTTTGGTCGACCTTTGTAAAAGGATAAAAATTTTATTGAACTACCACGTGACCAGATTTTCCATGAGAGAACGGAAACGTGAAGGTCAAGGTCATTACGGAAAAATTACTAGGAAAGGGTCGTTCTTTAGATACTAATACTGTGAAAAAATCGATAAATAAACGCGGAAAGTTGTTAATTTGGGAATTAAATAATTAATGTCAGGAGTGAAATTTTATTTTGACACTTTTTTGTTGCAAAAAGACACTGAGCAATTAATAAAAGTAACGGATTCAATTGGATTTTGTAATTTACAAATTCGACGAAAAATTGTGCATGGCCGAAATGGCCGAAATGAACAAATTGTCGGCTCAATTAAGAACTATTAAACGGGCGCAAGAATTAGCGCGAGTCAAAGCTGGGAAAGCCAGTGAGACACCGGGAAATCCGGATGAAATCTCAGAAAATATGAATTGCGAAACGCAATTAAATAATGAACAATGCGTTTCACCCGAAAGGGTAAACAATGGGGGAAATCCCCAGTCGCTAGAACGAGATGCTGGAGAAATTCCAGAACGAGGCTCGGAGCACATGGCGGCATGCGCAGACAGCAATGGATTGTGGGGAAGGATTTCCTCAATGGAAGAATCTTTCCGGAAACGGGAAGAAGCGCAGACGGAAATCTTAGCAAATATAGTGCTGAACGTTGCAAAAATGCAACAAAATATGCAAAAAGAAAGAAATAGTCAACAGTCGATTATGACTGCAACTGAAAACAACACCCCTGCTACAATAAATCATGATGGATTAGACGAATTGTTAAGTGAAACCGAAAGTACGGTAACGAGTGGTGACAACGTTGACAATGAATTTTTGGCAGACTTAATGAATGACTATGAGACTAAAACGCAGTTTGGGCCTAACGTAAATGAGACATTAGGGAAACTTGTTTGCAACGCTATCGACAGTGCGTTGCCAGAAGAAGAAGACAAAAAATTAAGAGAAAAATACCTAATCCCGGAAAACTGTCAAAACTTGAGAGTTCCCAAAGTTAACAGGGAATTATGGACTGCATTTAAGTTAAAACGAGCATCTGACTTGGCATTGCAATCAACACAGAGCTATTTGAGTTTAGCAATTGTACCAGTTATTAAATCTCTTGAACTGCTAATGGAAAAAGGGGACATTAAGAAAGTAAAAGAGTTGACCAAAGATACGTTCAGATTATTGGCTCAAGGCATTAATGTGGCTAATCGGAAGCGTAGGGCTCTTATAAGACCAGCAATACCAACAAAGTATCGTAAGGTGTGTGAAGGGGAAGAAAAAACCACAGAATTTCTCTTTGGTAATGACTTAGACTTAAAGGTTGAAAATTGTGAGAAGGAAGAAAAGCGTGCACAGAAATTAGGTGGCCACCAGAATAGTGTCACAACAAGTAAATCGAAGCCTTTTTTAGGCCAACGATTCCCGAAAGGGAATCAATTTCAACCGCCGCAACAGTCGAATCAAGGCAATTACAACCCATCATGGGGGAGAAATGTCCATCGAGGAAAATTCCAGGCCCAAAGAGGGGCATATTACAGGAAGAAATAACTGTAAGTAAAAATTTTCGAGTTATGAATACTCCCGAGAATTTTTATGGAGGAAAAATTTCAAAATTTGCAGAAAATTGGACAAAATTGTCTACTGATCCCTGGATATTAAACACGGTTTCTGGTTTAAGAATAGATTTAGATTCTAAGCCAACCCAGTTTTTTGTACCAAAAGCAATTAAATTGAGTAACATTGAGAAAAATCTTGTGGATGTTGAAATTCAAAAATTTTTAGATAAGAAAATTATTGAAGAGGTTAGTTCGGACGAATGTGGTCAGTACTATTCTAACATATTCATGAGACCTAAGAAAGATGGTAGTGTGCGAATTATTTTGAACTTAAAAGCTTTCAATGATCATGTTACAAAGTGCCATTTTAAAATGGAAACTCTAAAATCAGCAATAGCTAATATTCAACCCAGGGATTATTTTGCGTCTATTGATTTAAAGGATGCATATTTTAGTGTTCCTATTCATGTTGAACATAGAAAATACCTTAGATTTATTTGGCAGAACAAACATTATCATTTTATAACTTTGCCACAAGGACTAGCGTGTAGCCCTCGGGTATTCACTAAATTGCTAAAACCAGTTTATGCATTTCTTAGAAAGAAAGGGTATTCTAACATACCTTATATTGATGATAGTTTGTTAAAAGCTAAAACATACCATTCCTGTGAACAGAATGTTTTAGAAACTATTAATATTATGGATAACTTGGGCTTTAACAATACACCCTGAAAAATCTGTGTTTAAACCATCTCAAATAATTGTGTTTTTAGGATTCATTTTGAATTCAGAAAATATGACAGTAAAAATGACACCAGAACGAATTTCAAATTTAATCGAGTTATGTCAAAAAGTACTTACTCAGCAACATATTACTATTCGTGAATTTTCTAAAGTTATTGGGAAGATGGTGGCTAGTGAACCAGGGGTAGATTATGCTCCATTATTTTATAAAGATTTAGAACATGAAAAAGATGAGAAACTTGGTGTTTTCAAGGGTAAATTTGACCAAATGATAACATTAACAAATGAAAGCAAAGACATTTTATACAAATGGATACAATTTCTACCATTAGCGAAAAAACCTATTATAAGAAATGCCCCTGGTGTCATTTTATTCAGTGATTCAAGCAAAACAGGTTGGGGTGGAGTTAATAAAACAAACAATACAAATACTCGGGGATTATGGGATGAATTTGAAAAAGAGGAACATATTAATATTTTAGAACTTAAAGCAGCAATGCTTACTATACAATCGTTGGCTGCGGATGTTAAGAATGAACATTTGAGGATATATATGGATAATACAGTTGCAATTGCTTATATAAACAAATTTGGGGGGAAATCCTTAAATTTGCATAAAGTAGCTAAAGAAATTTGGTGGTGGTGCAAACAAAGGAATATCTGGTTAAGTGCCGCTCATATTCCAGGGAAAGATAACTATGAAGCAGATAGATTATCTAGACAAGTTAATGAAGATATAGAATGGCAGTTAAATCCAACATATTTTAAAATGTTAGAACAGAAAGTGGGAACATTTGACATAGATTTATTTGCTTCGCATTTGAATCACCAAATATCAAATTATGTATCTTATCAACCTGATGCTAAAGCATTCGCTGTTGATGCATTTACATTGTCATGGAATGAAAAAATTTATTTGTTTCCTCCTTTCAGTTTGATCAGTCACTGTCTTCAGAAAATAATCCTCGACAGAGTGAATTCAGCGGTATTGATTGCTCCATTATGGCCAACACAGGTGTGGTTCAGTCAATTATTACAACAGATTTGTGCCCAGTCATACATTCTACCAAAACAACAAACGTTAATTCTGCCAAAAAATCCACACAAGCAACATCCTGTTCAGAAGATGCGACTGGGAGCCTTTGTCTTATCAGGGAACAGCTCCAAAACAGAGGCCTATCAGAAAAAACTATCGAAATTATTTTACAATCATGGAAAACATCAACAACAAAGCAGTATGGGTCTTATTTCAGAAAATGGCTGCTTTTTTCAAGTTCAAAACAAATTGATTCACTTAACCCATCTACAGTGACAGTTTTAGAATTTTTAACTGAATTATATGAAAGTGGGTTAGGCTATAGTGCTATCAATACAGCGAAATCTGCTATTTCATCTACATGCAAATTGATAAATGATAAAGATATTGGTAATGACATTCTGATTAAAAAGTTTATGAGAGGGTTATTCTCAATCAGACCAACTTTGCCTAAATATGACAATATTTGGGATGTAAATAAAGTGTTGCAATATATTTCTAGTCTTCCTAACAATAATGAACTGAGTTTATTACAACTGTCTCAAAAATTGTCAACTTTGTTTATGTTGTTAACCGGACAAAGATGTCAAACAATTCATTTAGTAAAATTGTCTGATTTACAGATTTGTAAAGAACAAGTAGTTTGTCACGTATCAGAATTAGTGAAACAGTCTAAACCTGGGTTACATGTGAAACCAATGCAAATTCGTAGATACTACAATGATCCAAAATTATGTTTAGTGAATACATTGGAAACTTACATTATAATTACATCTAAACTTAGAGGGACTGAACTCAAATTGTTTATTTCAACTGTAAAACCCTTTAAGGCAGTGACTAAAACTACAGTTGCTAGATGGATAAAGCAATTAATGCAACAGTCTGGCATTGATGTGAACAAATTTGGTGTTCATAGTTGTCGTGCAGCATCAACATCAGCTGCTGCAAATAGAGGTGTTCAAATAGACTCTATAATGAAGGCAGCTGGATGGAGTTCAGCAAAAACGTTTGCTCTATACTATAACAAAACTGTTGAACAATCTTTTTCAGACGTAATTTTAGATGGTACAAACATTTGAAATAATGGTGGTTACATTATGATCTGTTTATTTTATGCGTTATAACAAAATGGAATTTTACACATTCAAGGGAGTTAATCAACATGTTCTGAATTAGTTTTATGTATAGCATTTGTCTCCCTTATTTTTGAGAAATGTATTGAATGATGTAAATATACTAGAGTAAATATATAGAAAAGATGTTTACAAGTTGTGAATTTTATTCAATTAAAATTGTCTGAATACAAATAGGAAACTATATATTTACTGTTTTGTTTAATAATAGATGATAAACTACTATTGCTTAGCTCTGAAATCTCATGGAAAATCTGGTCACGTGGTAGTTCAATAAAATTGGTAAATTAATCGAGACTTGTTGAAGATTGATTAAGATTTTATTGAACTACCAGTGACTTAGATTTTACATGCCCACCCATCAATATATATGGAATACACTTTTTGGTTGCCCAACCCGAAGCAATTTAGTTTATCATTTATACAGTAGCTCTGAAGAATGACCTTGACCTTCACGTTTCCGTTCTCTCATGTAAAATCTAAGTCACTGGTAGTTCAATAAAATCTTAATCAATCTTCAACAAGTCTCGATTAATTTACCAATTATTATACATTGTTTTATGTATAAATATAGTAAACTATAAATGTGTCCAAAGGACACGGATGCCCCAACGAACAACATATATATGGTATATAGTGAAAAAATCAACAAAGGGCCATAATTCTGTTAAATTTAGTCGCAGCAAAAATTCCTTCCTTTACTACCATCTACACATTAAGGTTGGTCATCCCTGGATGTTTAAGCAAAATCTGCCATCTGGTTTAAGAGGAGTTGCGTTAACAGATTTCGGGACATACGGACGGACGGATGGACAAGTGCAACGCTATATGCACCCCACTTTGTGGGGGCATAAAAATCATTTGATATGATACTTGTTTATTTAAAATAACATGCACAACTTGTGTGTGCTTGATATATAAGGACAAGTTACGTCTACCAAAAAAGATATGTTTGTAAAACATGTAAGCATATGCTTACCCCCCCCCCCCCCCCAAAATAAAAGTTATACAGTATAAGGTCCCATGAATTGTCAAGTTATTAGTTGGAAACTATTTTGGCATTCAAATTAAATGTAACCTTGGCCTTTGACCCCAAAGTCAATAGGGGTCATCTACTGGCGAAGACAGACGCACCTGTAAAGTTTGAAGACCAAGGGTTCATGGGTTGTTGAGTTATTGGTTACTGACTTTACATATTACAGGTCAATGTGACATTGTTTTACCTAGTGAAACCCAAAAACAATAGGGTCACCATACCTTGTATGAAGTTCTCTTTAATTATTGATTGGAAACGGTTAAGTCTACAGACTGACCTGACCAACAGGTAACAAAACAATCTACTCCCCAAAATGAGGTTTAAAACAACCAAAACACCTTTCATCTAACTGGCTTCATGAAAATTAAATATGTTTAAAGTCAGGAAAACCTATGCTTCAATTGGCTTTAAGTGCCTAGTATATAAAGAATATATAGCTTAATATTAACTGAGGTTGTACATCTTAGACAGTTTTAATTATCACTATCAAAGCATTTTGATATTTTTTTCTTAGCAATTTTTACTTCCCTTTGTACTTGCTTTATTTATGAAAATAACTTTAACTCAATTAGATTCAAGCAAGCAAACTTATTAATTAAAAGGTAAATATAACAGTGAGACTTGTTGTGTTACATTCAAGCAGTCTTGACAAACAACCACTATAAATGACAACAACAAATCAGTATGTGTATTTTCACATGTCAACAAAGTAAAAATTTATGACCGTTATTCGGGCTCAAAATGGCAAATAGTCATGGAAATCAAATAACCACTGGATATCGACAGCTAGTGACCTCTATTGAATGGGTCTTAGACAAATTTTCAAAATCATGACTATTACTGTTTTGTATTTACCAAGGCAACCTTCCTGAAACCTATCAAAATCCAAGTAGGTATACTCATTTGTAAAGCCCTACAAAATGATAAATTATAAAATAACTGCACATATTTATTAAACTGTCAGTGATTTTTAACTGTAGGCTTTCTGAAGGGGAAAAAAGCATGATGAATCAGAAAAGGGGTAAAAGCTGAAATCAAATTCAAACAACTGAGAATTATAATTAGATCCAATAATTAGGACAAACTCAACAAAGGCGATCTATATAGACAGCTTTTTGTCTTTCAGTCAATTAAATTTGGCTGTAAAATATATGGAATTTTCACTTTCTCTCAAATTCACTATGTCTTCAGCCTCTAGCAGAAACACATTTAAAGTTAAGTCAAACATTGCCTTTCCTTACAGATAAGTCATACATTGTCTTTCCTTACAGATATGTCAAACATTGCCTTTCCTTACACATATGTCAAACATTGCCTTTCCTACAGGTGAGTCAAACATTGCCTTTCCTTACAGTTAAGTCAAACATTGCCTTTCCTTACAGGTATGTCAAACATTGCCTTTCCTTACAGATATGTCAAACATTGCCTTTCCTTACAGGTGAGTCAAACATTGCCTTTTCTTACAGTTAAGTCAAACATTGCCTGTCCTTACAGGTGAGTCAAACATTGCCTGTCCTTACAGGTGACACAAACATTGCATTTTCCTTACAGTTAAGTCAAACATTGCCTTTCCTTACAGGTCTGTCAAACATTGTCTTTCCTTACAGATATGTCCAACATTGCCTTTCCTTAAAGATGTGTCAAACATTGCCTTTCCTTTCAGGTAAGTCAAACATTGACTTTCCTTACAGATGTGTCTAACATTGCCTTTCTTTACAGTTGAGTCAAACATTGCCTTTCCTTACAGATATGTCCAACATTGCCTTTCCTTACAGATATGTCAAACATTGCTTTTCCTTACAGTTGAGTCAAACATTGCATTTTCCTTACAGATATGTCAAACATTCCCTTTCATTACATGTAAGTCAAAATTTGCCTTCCCTTACAGGTATGTCAAACATTGCCTTTCCTTACAGGTTAAGTCAAACATTCCCTTTCATTACAAGTGATTCAAACATTGCCTTTCCTTGCAGGTAAGTCAAACATTTCCTTTTCTTACAGATATGTCAAACATTGCCTTTCCTTACAGTTAAGTCAAACATTGTCTTTCCTTACAGTTTAGTCAATTATTGCCTTTCCTTACAGGTTAGTCCTCAGTCATGTGAATAAAACTGTAAAAATTTAAGTTAAATTGATAATGTGTGGGCATCAGTGAATATCAACACCTTCCAACTTACAAAACTTTAATGTAATAATACTAGAAAAATTACAGTGTAACATGTATGTAAACTATTAAATTTAGTTGTAGCACATAATTATGGAATCGATGCTCTCTACATTAATTTGTTGCAAGTGCGTTGCCATGTATATATAGTCAAAATATATTGGGGAATTGTTAGACAACTGAAGAGAAACAAGTTAATGGCTTGTCATTTTTATAGAAAGAGTATAAGGTTGCATTGCCAATAAGAAACTACGCCCTTGCAAAATATTGCGCCTGTTTTGCACTTGGAGAAGTAACAGATATTGCTCTTTTACTTTAATTAACTCTTTTAAACAGACTCAATGAAACCAAGTCTTCACTTTTCATACAAAATTGATGTTTTCATTGCTTTATTAAGGGATCTCCTTATATAGAGATTTTTTTGATATAATGAGGTATTATATATAAATTGATTTATTTATGTGCACCAACATAGATAACAAGAGTATATAGAAAAAATGAACAAATAATGAATATAATGGAACAAATAATGAATATAATGGAACAAATAATGAATTTAATGGAACAATGAATGGAATAAATAATGAATAGATTGAAACAAATAATGAATATAATGGAACAAATAAGAATATAATGGAACAATTAATGAATATAACAAGAGCTGTCGGAAGGACAGCACGCTCGACTATTCTAAGTGCTTGATAGTAAAAGAGCCTTGATAATGTTAAATTTTTTAAGTTCACAAAAGGGCTAATTTTTTTTTATAAATTCATGTTATAGGCCTTAGAGAGAGTCTAATTATACAGTATTGGCTTGACTATTCAGAAGGTAATGCCACAAGGGTGTTTTATTGAGTATAATAATACTAATTACCTATGAATACATAAATTTGACAGAAAAGGTACATAGGATTCATTGTTATTAAGATGTTTTATCAAGTAAATCACTGCTTTATTATTATGAATGCATAAAATTGTCCCAAAAAAGGCACAAACCATTCAGAAGTTATTGAGATAACAGCTTACAAGCAAAACTTTACCATGAATTTCTAAGTTGAAAAAGGGGAGAAAAATCAGCCTAAATGCAAGATAGAATTATGTATCTTTGTCAGTGACCTACAATTATGACCCTAAATGCATATGTGAAGTTTTAAATACTTATTGAGATATGTAAAACTTGCATGTAAACATTAACCAAGAGACTAATTAGAAAAGGGGATATGAATCAGCCTTAATGCAAGATAGAGTTATGGTACTTGGTCAGTGACATACAATTATGACCCTCCAACTATGACCCTAAGTGCATGTGTAAAGTTTCAAGTAAATATCTTTGAAGACCTTTAACCTTTAACCAAAAGTTCTAAGTTTCAAAGGGGCAAATAATTTTTGCAAATATTGCAGGCAGAGTTATGCAATTTTGCAAACTGATGTACATTGTTACTATAAAAAAGTATTTTAAATTTCAATTGAATATCTCAAGCAATAATTGAGATATTTGACTTTACAAAAAAACTTTAACCAAAATTTCTAAGTTCCAAAGGGGCATAATTCTGTCAATATTGTAGGCAGAGTTATCCAACTTGTCAATCTGATGTACCTTGTTACTATAAATAAGTATTGTAAGTTTCAATTAAATATCTCAAGCAATAATCGAGATATTTGACTTTACAAAAAACTTAAACCAAAATTTCTAAGTTAAAAAGGGGCATAATTCTGTCAATATTGTAGGCAGAGTTATCCAACTTGTCAATCTGATGTACCTTGTTACTATAAATAAGTATTGTAAGTTTCAATTGAATATCTCAAGTAATAATTGAGATATTTGACTTTACAAAAAACTTTAACCAACGCAGACGCCGACGCGGACGCCGAAGCCGACGCCGGGGCGACTACAATAGCTCTCATATTCTTCGAATAGTCGAGCTAA